CACTTGGGAGGCAGAGGCAGGCGGATTTCTGATTTCGAGAGTTCGAGGCTAGCCTGGTCTACAGAGTGAGTTCCAGGACAGCCAGGGCTACACAGAGAAACTCTGTCTCGAAAAAACAAAAAAAAAAAAAAAAGAAGAAGAAGAATAAGAATACACAGTTCAAGTGTCCAGAATGGGTTTTAGGAGGGATCTGGAGAAGTGGCTCAACAGTTATGAGCACAGGCTGATCTTCCAGAGGACCCAGGTTCAAGTCCCCGCACTAGTACATCAGCTCACAACTGTCTATAACTTCAATTTCAGGGGATCCAACATCCTCTTTTGGACTTCATGAATATGTAACATATTATCATATTTATGTATATATTCCATATTTATATATCTCTTTGGTACATAGCTCTGTAAGTATTATTTGATTAAAGAAGAAAGAAATACTCTCTCTGGTCTCTCTCTCTCCCTCCCTCTCTATCTCCCCACCTCCATGTGTTCCCTGCCGGCCTCTTCCGTTCTTTCTTTCTCTCTCTTTTTGTTCTTCTCTGTCCCCTTTCTTTCTCTGCCTCTACTCCCTTCCCATGCCCCTAAATAAACTTCAGTTTATATTAAAAAAAAAAAAAAAGACTAGCCAGGTATAATGATGTATCCACTTAATCCCAGCACTCAGAAGTCAGAGGCAGGAGAATTGCTGTGAGTTTGAGGCCAACCTGGTTTACACGGCAAGTTCCAGGTCAACTAGGGAGGATCATATATCAAAAAGGTCAGTTCAGGAAACTGGGGTGCAATGTGGTAAGCTCAGGAGGGCAAGGTCATCTTCAGCTACACAGCATGTTGGAAGATAGCCTGGGCTACGTGAGATCCTGCCTGTACCTTCTGACTCTCCCCACATCCGGTCTGAACAAATGGAGGATATGTCATGTCCCAAGGGCATCTTGCCTTCTTGCTTTGGCTAGCTCCCTGCTCCTCTGGCCTGGAGGCCCTTCTCCTCACCCCAACACTTACCGAGCACTGTCAGCCAGACATTGGCGCTCCTGCTGCCTCTGGGGAAGGTGGCAATCTGACATTCATAGATGCCTTCGTCTTTTACACCCAAGTTCGAGATGGCCAGAGATGCATTCTGCAGATCCTTGTCCTGCTTGGCTGCCAAGAATCTCACCCTCTCTGGCTCAACGATGTTGGGCCCCCTCTTAGGGTGGAAGACCGCCACAGAGGGGTGGGATCCGTCTGGATTCTTCTTCATCCATGTTATTTGAGTGACTGTCACGTTGTCGTCAGAAACCAGGCTACAGTGCAATACGGTAGACCCTCCCAAGAAGCCGGTCGAATTGAAGGGCACGTGCACAGCTATATCCCCACCTGGGAAACCAGAGACGTTAGTTCATTCTTTTAAATTAATTTATTTTAAAGATGTATTTCCTTTTAGTTTATATGTGTTAGTGTTTGCTAGCATGCATGTACATATAAAAATAATTTTTAAATCCATTTTTTCTTCCATCCCCTTCCCATCAATAACGACTCTGAGACTAATTAGTTATTACTAAATACCTAGGCCAGAAGCTCTGGCTCATTCCGAGCAGCTTATTTTACACACACACACACACACACGCGCGCGCGCACATACACACATGCACACACACGCACCCACATGTACATGCACGCGCGTGCACACACATACACACATGTGCACACATGCACCCACATGTACATGCACATGCACCCACACGCACGCACACACATGCACACACGCACCCACACGCACGCACACACATGCGCACACACGCACCTACATGTACATGCACACTCACACACACGCACGCGCACACACACACACGCACCCACGTGTACATGCACACGCACCCACACGCACGCACACACACACACACACGCACCCACATGTACATGCACACTCACACACACGCACGCACACACACACACACACACGCACCCACGTGTACATGCACGCGCACACACACACACATTCAGACTGTATCTATATCTACCATGTGATCAGTTGCCTCTCCTTCAGTGCCTGCCTGCTGCTTCCTCAGTGTCGCTCTGCTGGTTTACATCCGTCTCTCGCCCCCCTCCATCTCTATTTTACCTCTTACTATTTCCCAGAATCCTCTCTTCCTACTAGTGTCCCAGCCCCTATTTCCTGCCCCAGCCCATTGGCCATTGGCTTTTTTATTGGCAGGTGATGTCTATAAGAGATTTCTCTCTACACGTGTGTCCACCCCATGTGTGCAGTGCCCATAGAGGCCAAAAGGGAGGCATAAAATTCCCCTGAATTTGAGATACAAAGGATTGAGAATCACCATGTGGGAGCTGAGAAACGAACCCAGGTCCTCTACAGAAGCAGCCAGTGCAGCCCCTTATCTTACTTCAATAATAATAATAACAACGTATTGGGGGCTGGAGAGCTGGCTCAGAGGTTAAGAGCAACGGCTGCTCTTCCAGAGGTCCTGAGTTCAATTCCCAGCAACCACATGGTGGCTCACAACCATCTGTAATGAGATCTGATGCCCTCTTCTGGTGTGTCTGAAGATAGCTACAGTGTATTCATACAAATAAAATAAATCTTTAAAAAAAAAAAAAAAAAAACAACGTATTATCGTTATATTTAAATATTTATACATTATAATATAATTAAGTATATTACATTTAAATATTATTAATGTAATTAAATATTTGTATTACAAAATCTATTATAATGTACAATAATTTTGCCTTATAATAATCACATAGTAATTATTATTATTATTATTATTATTATTATTATTATTTACAGGGTCTCAGTACATCCACCGGGCTGGTCTGGAACTCAGAGATCTGCTTGCCTCTGCCTCCTAAATTCTGGGATTAAAGGCATGCGCCATCACACTGGGCTGCAGGCACCATTTATAAATGCAATAAGGCATAGAAGAGTTCGCTAGGGGATCACACAGGCATACGACGATAAGGTGGGGTTTGAATCTGGGCCGTTTATAGTCACTCCGCTAGGCTCTATGTGAAACTCTGTCTTTAGCCCAACACACAGTAGGCCCTCAACATTAGGGAATACAGTGTCAGGCATTTCTGATTACCTCAGAAATCTGATAATGACTTCAGAGTCAAGTTCTGGAAACCCAGGCCCCGCCACGGTGACCCTAGGGTACCCCTGTCCGGGGTTCCACCTGCCTCTGTCTCCTCTGTATTTGGATTAAAGGCATGACCCACCACCTCTCTGTTCTGTTTTGGGTTTTGGTTGCAGCCATGCAGTCAGCATGCTGTTCCCCTCACTCTGAGCTCACCCTGAGCGCTCAGTGTGACTTGCTGTTGGTCCAGCACTGGGCTCCTAATTGGGTTGTGTGAGGATCAAGGGTCTATCCTCAGCACCCTGCGTGCTCAGGGGTAGACTCCTGAGCTAGAATCCCCCAGTGAGCGACTGGCTTCAGTCTCCAACTCAGCAAAAGTTAAAGGAATGAACAAATAAATCAACTCTGAGTTAGTCACTAAAGAGCTTGCTGGAGAGGGCGTCGCCAGGGTTAAAGTTCCCCGCATGAGTCACTTTTTGTCACTACGCATAGGTCATTTATTTTACAATTAAAAAAAAAAAAAACTTTGCGCGCGCGCGTGTGTGTGTGTGTGTGTGTGTGTGTGTGTGCGTGCGCACGCAGAGGGGCAAATCAGGGTCTCATTCCCGAGCCTAGGCTACTCTGGAACTCACGGCACCCCTCCTACCTCATCCTCCCCCGTATTCGGGTGGGTGGTGTGAGCCGCCATGCCCGATTTTCCGGGAATCTCTGCTCCCGAATCCAGACCTATGACTTTGGGCCCGGAAGCAGGGATCGAGTGGGCCTCCCGAGGTGCGCCCAGGCCGGGAGGAGCCGGGGCGCGGGGCTACTTACCGGCTTCCCGGAGCGCATAGCAGAAGAGCAGCAGCAGCCGCGACACCAGCCACATCGGCCACACCGGGGAGCAGGAAGCACGAGACGACTGGGCCATGTGGTTCGGGGTTCGATCCGGCTCTTTCTAGTCCACGAGTATCCCGGTTAGCAGCGGACAAGCGAGTGACTTACCACTCCGGAGACCTGGCGCCAACTGCTGAAGTCTCAGCTGATCGGGCGCCGCCTAGGGAGGGCTGCCCTCTGCGCAGGCGCACACAGCCGAACTAGTCCGCGGGGCTGCTTGATAAGAGCGTACCACCCTGACAATTAGTGTCATGTAAACCTGTCCCCCCCCCCCGGGGGGGGGGGGGGGGGGGGGGGGAGGATGGAGGCAAGAGGATCAGGGGTTCAAAGAGAGTTCGAGGCCAGCCTAGGCCATATGAAATCATCCCGGATTTTTTTTTTTTCTAATTAAAAATGATGGGGAGGGGGTCGGAGCTAGGCTTGAAATGTCTTTAATCACAGCACTCTGGAAGGCGGGCAGATCTGTGAGTTCTGTGTCAGTTTGATCCACGTAGACAAATCCAGCCTAGCCTGGGTTACTCAAAGAAACTCTGTTTCAAAAAGAAATAGGGTCTCGTGAGGCACAGGCAGGCCTCAGACTGGCTATTCTGGGTCAGCGCTTCTCAACCTTCCCAATGCGCGATTCTTTAATACAGCTCTTCATGCTGTGGTGATCCCTAACCGTAAAATCATTTTCATTGCTACTTATAACTGTAATTTTGCTACTGTTACGAATCATAATATGAATATCTGACATGTGGGATATTTGGCATGCTTCCCCAAAGGGGTTGAAACTCACAGGTTGAGAACGACTGTTCTAGGCTACCCTTGAACTCCCGATCTTCCTCCCAACACCTTTGGAATGCAGGAACGACAGGCACGTCCTCCCCCGAACCCCATTTCTGCTCGGTTAATTTCTGAATGGGAATCCGAGGGGCAAGTCTTTTGGAAATCTCTGGATTTTCTTGAGTCCTGTGGCATTTCCACACCGAGAGCCTGTGGCCACTCTGTTCCTTCTCTGACCATGCTGTCATGACTGTGGGGTTTCCCTTCTCCCAGATCTCCCCATTGCTGTGACATAAACTGGCAGGTCACTAAACCACCTCCCATTCACACCCGAAAAAGGAAAGAGCTCCGTTCCCTCCTCCCTCCCACTTTCTGCCTGTGAATACACTGTCTCTAGTCCTTTCCCCACACAAAGGCTGTTCTGTCACTGAGTCTCTGGTCCTGTGTCTTTCTTTCTGTGCGTGGGCTCCAGCTCACACACACACACACACATCACACACACACACACTGAGAGAGAGAGAGAGAGAGAGAGAGAGAGAGAGAGAGAGAGAGAGAG